GCGTCACTATGACAATCACCTTTGCCCCTTTGGACCTCGATTCTGTTTTTTCTAAGGAAAACCTGTCAACCTAAAAGAGCAAGACTTCCTTGAGAGGAGAAAAGTACTCCTCCCTAAACCATGAGGTCAAGGTTGGGGAGCAAACTTCCATCCACTGTGGGCAGAAGACTTGGTTCTTTACAGCGGCAGGGCAGCAGATCCATTACCAGGAACGGCCACAGCAGCAACCTCTGTTGCCTGAGATGAGGTGGGCCCGGGGCAAGTCACAAGAGCGCAGGCAGCAGGGGTCAAAGCCAAGGGTCTGGAGAAGCGGACTTACAGTGGGAGGGGCCTTGAGCAGAGGCAGGTTGGCAATGGCTCCAGAAATGAGCCAACTCTAGGTCAGCACGGATCCAAAGAGTCCCAGACACTAACAGGGCTCAGCGCAGGCAGCCCCAGGCTGGAGATGTTTATCCAGGAGGGAGTAAATTGCACTGTTCAAGAGCAAGGGCTTTGGAGCCAGACTGCTGGGTTCAAATCCTGCCTTCCTCCCTTCCCAACTCTGACTTTAGACAAGCCAACTAACCTTCTGTGCCTTGCTTTTCTTATCTGCAAAATGGGTATAATAATGCTGCTAATGGCTCTTTCCTAGGGCTGTTAGGAGGGTTAAATGAGAGAATGTATACAAAGCACTTAGAACAACCCCTGGTACATTATAAGTCTTCACTCAGTGTAAGCTGTTATATGATAACCATCCAACTTGACACAGGGTGAGCCCTCTGGGATTGACAGGGGCAGAAGACAATAGGGGGATTCCTGCTTCAGGTGCACTTTCCCCCAGTAAGAAAATAAAGCAAAACCAGACAACAGAAAGACTGCTGGAGTAAGAATTCCAGCAAAAAACTGGAAAGAAGTTTCAGCATAGCATAATACCCTTAATCCCGCTCCCCTCCACCCCACCCCCTACCATTCCTGCTGAAAGAGTTTGAAATAAGGATTCCACAAAATGAGCAGCAGTGTGGGGGAGTGAGCCAAGCATTTGACCCTATGCCAGATGACTTGAGTTTAAGTACAAGTTGTAACCTCAAGAAAGTCACTGAATTGCTCTGAGCCTAAATTTCCACATCTGTAATATGAGTCAGTGGACTTTTTTTTTGAAGGGGGGCAGTCTGCCCATCATTTTCCCCACTTCTTCTGGGAACTGTTTCTTTCCCATACCCCAATTGTTGTGACCTCCATTTTCTTACATGACTCCACCTCCCCGGCCATAGTTGATTGGTCCAGAAGGGGGCACCTGACCCGAGCTAGGCCAATCAGAGTGCTTCCTTGAGATTTTTGTTTTTGTTGTTGAACTGGAACTGGGGAAAGAGAGTCAGCACTTCTGAGTAGAGTGTGTAGAGTGGGACTCAGGACCACTTGGCAGTTCGGTTTCCAACATGTGAAGCTGAAGAAGCTAAAACATGCAGTGAAAAGCAAAGATCAGAGATCATTCTGGTGGCATTTGGACCAGGTGTCTCTGGGACCTACATGTACCCCTGCCTTGCCCACAGTTAAATGAGACACTCACATTGATTCCAATTAATTCTTCCTTTTGCTTAACCTGGTTCAAGTTTGTTTTCTGTCATTTGTACCCCCACCCCCCAAGTTGCTGATTGATACAGATTAATTTATTTCTAGGATCCTTTTTTTTTTTTAAGATTTTATTTATTTATTTGAGAGAGAAATCAAGAGAGCACAAGCAGGGGGAGCAGCAGAGGGAGAGGAAGAAGCAGGCTCCCCACTGAGCAGGGGAGCCTGCTGTGGGACTCAAACCCAGGACCCTGGGATCATGACTTGAGCCAAAGGCAGACACTTAACCAACTAAGCCACCCAAGGATCCTAACATCCCTTTAGCTCTAAATCTCTATGCTTTTATATAAACAATAGATGAATGGTATTCAAATAGAGCTATATGTCTGAACCTTGGATAACTGTGTGAAATATCAAAGCTTAAAAAAAAAAGGAAACATCACTTAACACACTTAAAAGTGTAGAATAGGTTCAACACTCTTTATAGCCTTTCATTATATCTAAATGAAAGAAATAAATAGGTCAAGAGCTGGTGTTTTGGTGAACTGTGAGGAAATCAGCCATTAAATTATAAAAATTGATTTCATAACTGTTGACGTAGTGACCTGATTTTGAAATTGAATCCATTTTTCCTATGCCTAGTGTAACACAAGAGGGAGAATAGTAACTTTGGCTTGGTGAAGACCAAGAATTTAGAAAGACTTGGTCACAATGTGGCAATTTTGGCCTAAACTCCCTAGTTTGTCTACACTACCTAATTAGTAATAAGTGAGTGAAATCTTTTCTTTCTTTTGGTTTAAACAGATAAAATAAATAGCTATGTAAGTCTCTCATTTCTGATTTCTATTCTAATCCACCCACCTGTCTGTGTACTATTAAAAATAACTTACATTTTAGCTTTCAATAAATAAGGCATTTTTTTATTTTGGCTTCTTCATCATTTATAGATTTCAACGTACAAAATTTTGCAATTTGTCTCATGGTAAGATAACTCAGGAATATCGGTGACAATAAGTCTTTCTAATTCTGATGCCCTTTTCTCAGTATTAAACTTGAGATGTATGCATATGTGTTTATATTTATATCTGTAACTGTTCTTATTCTCCTGTAAATTCATGATAATTAATGGTACGAGGGATGGTATTTTCATATCATGTTGAAATCCACAGAAAGTGATGAGAACTCATTTTTTGCTATTATTGTCGTTTAAATCTCCTCCCCAGAAAAAGATCTTAAACCAGAGCTTAAACGTATAGTATAGTACATGTATAGTAGTAAAACTACTTCAAGTTACACAGACTCCCTCAACTCACTTTTTTTTTAGTTGAAGACCTTACAAGATGTAAAATCATAGCTAACCAAGATGAAGTGAGAAGAGGTAGGGGAGGCTGGAGCTTTTATAAACCACTACTAAGATACAAATACATTTGAATAATAAAGCAAAGGTGATGTGGAATGGATCCTGAATGTCAGTGGTCCCTAATGCCTGGCTCTGACTCCCCAGATCATCCTCTGGAGCCTAGCAGGAACCTAGCTGTCAAGATCACCCCTCCTGAAAGGTAGGAGCCATGTATCTGGAAAGATTTTCACTTTATTCCCACTTGATAACCCCCCATGTAATCTTTCCTGTCAGGGAGTAACCAGCCACAGACTGAACTCAGCAATGTGGTGTGTGGTCTGACCCATAATACAAGACAACCCTGTCGCCCTCTTCTTTGTCCCTAGCCCTTCCCTACTTTAAACCCCTGCCCAGGCACCTCCTTGCCCTTCCCTCATGGCCACAGAATATCCTGCCTCCATCTGTCTCGACCACAGAATATCCTGCCTCCATTGACTATTTCTTTCCTTATGTCTTGGTACCACCTCACTAAAATTAGAGGGCCATGGAGGATAGGTTTCCTAGGAGACAGTGGGTGGGCGGAGTCTGCTCGGGTGGGGGGGCTCTCCTAGACACCTGGCTGATCTTGGCCTTTAATCTTCTTTCACTCTGATTACTGTGTGTGGCCACCAGTGCCCATCAGTCATGCCTGATCTTGGTACAGTTCCTGCTTTGGCCCTGGCCAATTCGGCTTATTCTCAGTTCCCCTTTTCCACCCTTTCCTGCTTACACAACTAGAGAGAAATGCCCAGTTCTACCTGACAGAAATACACTCAATAGAAGACATGAAACTGCTATACACATCTGCAGAGATCCATACCTTCACTTCTTAGATACGTGTTTAATAGAGGAAACAGAACCCCCATAGGCCTCAGGGGTAGCTCTCTTGCATTTGGTTCAAGCCAAGTGTCAGAAGACTGATAGACAATAGACCAGCACATGGATGAGCAAGTGATGGACTGCAGACCCCGCACAGGTGGATGAGTTCAGAATAATGTGTGAAATGTACTTTTGATACCATGTGACTGACAATTACTACAATAATGTTAGTCAACAAATACCACAACTTGGTGTAGACCTTTGTACAACTTGCTGGAAATGTGTTAAATACTAACAGAAGTTACATCCAATGCTAGCTAGATGTATGGTCGGAGAGGTAGACCTCTGTGGGAACTGTAGATAATTTTATAGTTACTGGGAGACATTGCTTTGTCATCACTGTTCACTTCTTTAGTCCCTCTTTGAATCTTTTAATCTCTTCAAATGCACAATCAAATTTTCAGGAATTTGAGGAGCACCTGGCTGGCTTGGTCCATAGAGCATGCGACTCTTGATTTTGGGGTTGTAGGTTCGAGCCCCATGTTGGGTGTAGAGAGTTCTGAAAAATAAAATCGTAAGTAAGTAAGTAAATAAATAAATAAATATGGCTTGAAGCAGTGGTCTTGTCATGCCAAGAGATAATAGGAAGGTCTACCACTTGGATTCCTACATTTTCAGGAATTTGAAAACGTGTCATGAGTATGAAAAAGACACTGAATGATTAGAACAACTGTGATTAATTGTATGGTGTGGACTAAGAACGTATAAAACCAAAAGAACTAGCATTGCTGGGTGAGGAAGAGCAGGAAAAAGAAGAGACTCTAACATGTGTTAGGTGGACACCACTGCGGATCTATTTTCTGCAATGACAACAACATGCAGACAAAGTCCCAGACCCCTTGGGAGAGGCCCCCTTACCTATGATGAGAGGAAGGACTGCATCTGAGAAATTACTTGCTCATTCATTCATTCATTTAAAAAATTCAACCAGTAAATGTTTACCGGGAACCTAGGATATGCCACATAATGTGTCCTGGGCCATGGTGATACAATGATAGGAGATATACCGTCCTTCGCTGAGTACGTTATTCTAGTCCGGGAGAAGGACAAAAATGAAGGAAACAGAGAAAACAGTGACAAGTGCTGATGTGTTATGAAGGAAACCAACAAGGGGAATAATTAGAGTGCCGTGTGTCTGGGAGGAGAGACTCTTTTTAGAGAGAGCAATCTGGGAAGGCCTCTCCAAGGACAGGACGACCTTCTAATTTTTATTTCTCTCATCAGCTCTTAGCAGCCCGCAAAACAGCCTCTGAAGTTACACAGAGACTTCAGGGAGAGAAGCTCTGCGTGTTGCCCTCTATGAAGTAAGCTCTTTATATTTTTCAAATGAATAAAGAATGGTATGGAATCACCACTCATAACTTAATGAGGAGAGCTCACAGTCTCTCACAGATGAAAGAAGGACAGTCTACCCCTTAAAAGAACCAGGAACAGGCAGTGTCACAGAGGAAAAGGAGGGGATTTCAAAGACGATCACAAATGAGTTGGAAACTTATATCCACACAACATCTTGCGCAGGAATGTTTATAGCAGTTTTAGTCATAATTGCCCAAACTTGGAGGCAACCAAGATATCCGTCAGTAGGTCAATGAATTAAAAAAATAAATGCGGTACATCTGGGCAATGGAATATTATCTGGCACTGAAAAGAAATGAACGATCAAGCCATGAAAAGACAGGGAGGAACCTAAGGTGCATATTACTAAGTGAAAAAAAAACCACCTGAAAAAGCAGGTATGATAGTGTATGATTCCAGCTCTAGGACATTCTGGAAAAGGCAAGACTATGGACACATTAAAATGATCAGTGGTTGCCAGAGGTGGTGGGGAGGGAGGGGTGAATAGGTGGAGCACAGAGGATTTTAGGGCAGTGAAACTACTCTGTGTGATACTATAATGGTAGATACATGTCATTATACATTTGTCAAAATCCATAGAATGTCCAATCCCAAGAGTGAACCCTAAGGTAAAACTATGGACTTTGGGTGATTATCATGTGTCAATATAGGTTCATAGATTGTGACAAAGGTATCACTCCGGTGCAGGCTTTTGATATAGGGGAGGCAGGATGTATGAGGAGGCAGGGCATATATGGGAAATCTCTCTACTTTCTACTCCATTTTGCCGTGAATCTAAAAGTGCTTGAAAAAATAAAATCTTGGGGCATCTGGGTGGTTCAGTCCGTTAAGCGTCTGCCTTCGGCTCAGGTTGTGATCTCAGGGTCCTGGGATGGAGCCCCGCATCGGGCTCCCTGCTCCGCGGGGAGCCTGCTTCTCCCTCTCCCACTGCCCCTCCCCCCAGCTTGTTTTCTCTCTCTCTCAAATAAATAAGTAAAACTTAAAAATAAATAAATAAGGTTCTTTTCCTAAGAATTCAAATGGAAACGTTTACATCAGTCATAGTGAGTCTGGCTAATAATGTGAGTCCGCTCCTGAGAGATGGAGCCCCCATGGTGTGCCAGGTCTGCCCATCTCCCTGGACTGAAAGGAATGGACCCAGGTTGTTCTCCCTGCCTCCAACGTTGTTCTTTTCTTTTCCATTGAAGAATCTCATCTATTAAGGCCTGGGCGTACTGTAGCATCTTTCCGTCTGTCTCCCTCCTTAGCCTTGCTAAGGGATTTACCCTGCACTCCTCTAGCGATTGGCTGAGGCGGATGTCCTCCCCTCTGGTGGCCACATCACCTGGTGTGGAAGGTCACAGCTTCAGTGTGTCTCTCACCGGACTGTGGGTCCCTCGAGGGCAGGGATCATGTTTCGATCTCCCCAGCCTCTGGCACATCAAAGCTGTCTAGAGAAGGGACAATATCCGACCTTCATTGTAAAGCAATTACACCGGCAGCGATGTGGAGGAAGGGTTGGGGAGTGAGAGGCGAGGGGCACGGAGACCTCCCCCGCCAAGCTGCTTGGCAATGCTTCCACTGAACAACGATGAGGCTCAGCGAGAAGTCAGCAGAGGGGCAAGGGAGAAATGTAGGTAGAATCATTAAACCTTAGAGATGGATTAGAGGGTGGGGAAGAGGAGAAGGAGGACTGGAAACCTGGGAACTTCTAGAAATTTCTAACTGGTCTTTTGGCATCAGTCCTTGCTCTCCTCAGAGCCATGTAGACTGTTATCAACACAGTGGCTGGTGAGCTGATTAAACTTTAAAATCATTTTCCTCTTCCACTCACAACCTTTCATTAGCCTCGCGCTGGTGTCTTGGCGAGGCACACAGTTCGTCCAGTGCTCTGGAAGGTCCTGCCTGCTCTGGCCTCATCCCTTGCCCCCTTCCTCTCTAGACTCAGTTCCCACTACCCTCTCTTCTGCTTCCTCCTGTCCCAGGTTCTTTGTGCCTGACGTTCCCTTGGCCTGCAGTCTCTTCCCCAACTCGTGCCCTCACTCAATTGTCACCTCTTCTCTGAGGCCTTCCCAGGCCCCCTATTTAAAAGTGCGAAACCCTTCCTCATTTCCTATGCTCCTTCTCCTCATTACACAGCTCTTTTCCCTCTTGCTGTCTAACATGCTGTATATTCTAGTTACTCTTCTATCTGCTCCATTAGACTCTAAGTGCCATAAGGACAGGAATTTTTGTCTGTTTTGTTCATAGCCCTAGCCCCAGGTCTAGAACAGGTTTTATCCAGCATATAGTCGAATAAATGCTCAGTAAACACTGGTTGGTTGATGGAGTGGTTTTTCATGACTCATTTCCTGAATAGGCCTCCTCATAAGGATTCCCTTCTGTCCCCTGTAGCACCCAGCAGGTGGTGGCTATGTGGCAGATGACCAAGTAGACCCTGGGGGGTGGGCCCTTTCCAGTCTCCTGGACCTGAACCCTCGCCCCTCCCCAGGGCTCCTTGGATCTCATTTGCTCACAACTTCCTGACCTGCTCACACCCTGACGGGAACAGGGTCTGCATGGGTGACAAGCTGGTGGCCTATGAAGAATAAGCCCATAAAACACAGTTCAGCAAGGGCACCACTCCCAGGTAGCTGTGCAGGCAGTGCTGAGGACGAGGCCAAGATCATGCGAGATTTCCCCCTTTGGTAAATGAAGCAGATAAAGTCTACCTTGCAAAGCCGTTGTAAGAATCAGGTATGAGGAACGGGATGGCGTCGCAGGAATGCCTGTACATAGTATGAGCCCAACAAATGAGGGCCATCAGGTGGTGGAGTGGGGTCAGCCCTCCCACCCGCCGTCCCGTGCAGTGACAATGTGGATGGCAGTGAAGATGGAACCCGTGATGAAGCCCAGGGCCACTCGGCAGCCTTCCCTGCTGCAGGTTCTGAGGTCACGGTTACTTCTCCAGGCCGCAAGACCTTGCCAAGACCCACTCAGGCATTTCAGGCAGCCTGTTTCCTTCCTCATCTAGCAGCATCGATGATGTTAGACACTAAACATCAGAAGAATGCATCTGTGTCATACTTTGAAACTGATTAGGACTAGGTCCAAAAATAATGTCAAAAGAATTCCCCAGTTCCCAGATCACAGCCACTGCTGTGTGCTGTTGTAATAGGACAATTAAAACGAGAGGGGGGCTGCCATCTTGCCGACAGAGTGAATTCTCCTCTTAGCGGACGGAGGGAAAGTGGGGTCTCCACCACCAGTGAACTTCAAAGCAAGCCCAGCATCAGTCAACCCCAGGAAAGCCTGTAGTTTGACGCTGCCTGACTTCTCCTCTGAAAGCTTTCCTTTTCCTTTCCTCTCTTTCGCGTTTCAAAATTTCCCCTCCAGTGATTACTTCCGTTTGGGCCCTCCCTGTTATTCCACTTCCTGTTTGCCTACTTTTTGTTCTGCTGTGTTTGCTTCTCTCCTCGCCTGGTGCACTTGGCCTTCAGTGAGTTCCTCTATTTCATCTCCTGCCCACCCCACAGCCCTTCCGAGGAGGATCTGAAGTTCCTAAGCTCCTCTCCCCTCCTGGGTTGTAGCTCTTCGGGCCTTTATGATACAACCAATATGCCACCTTGCTTCAAGAAGTTTCTAGCTCCCCGTTTCCACTAAATCCATTGAGTTTAGAGGAAGCCCTGGTTCCTTCTAGTTGGCAGCTAAGGGCTTGGAGAGACTCTGGGACCAGGAAAAGGGCATGCTTAGTGCCTCCTCGCTCCCTCACGGCTCCGCAAGTGTTAACTTGCAAACGGTGCTCAGGAATACGAAGGAGAGACTGAAATACCGGGAAAAGAAAGTGCTCCGCATGCTGCCCTCTCCTTGAGAACAGCAATGAGGCCAAGAATGCTCCTGGATAACCAAGATATCCGGCTGTGGATCACCCAGCGGCCTCAGGCCACAGGCTTGGTAGGCGGATCCTGCCACTCCTTCTCCTGTTGTGCCCCCACCCTCACCGACCCCCAGGGCCCAACTGCTCCAACCCCTTGGCAAACACGGCACACTCGACAGAGTTGGACCTTGGCCCGCTGCTTCTCGGTTGCCAACCAGCCAAGAGAACACCTGCTTTTCATTCTCTTCGGGGGAAGTGTGAATTTCTCCCGTGGGCCTGTAACCCCTGCTCGTGCCATAACCCTTCTCCCGGTTTGCTTTCTTGACGTCTTCTAACCTAACTCCAGAAGGTGTCCAAGAGAGCCCTGGCATCTGCTCTTCACGGCCTGGGATCACCCTCGAAGTTTTTGCAGCCAGTCGGGGGAGGTCAGTGGCAGACGACGTTGCCGCTATGGTTTTGTTTTCCTTTGTCTACGTTTGGCTGGCATAAACACTTCTGAGAAATGGTCTGCAGCTAATGCCTTTTCGTTTGGTTCCCTTTAACAAGGGGTTTATAAAACGACTCTTACTATGCAGAACACATGTTCTAAGTATACAGTTACTTGACGGATTGAAACAGGCTGAGAGAGGCAGAACACGTGTTTCAAGATATTCCTGAAATGCATAATTACCCCGCGGACCAATCGGGGACATAATATACATTTTAATACACCATTCAATTGCTGTTTACCTAGGAGACAGGAACCTTTCTGGTCTCTTGGGCTAAACTACAGATTTTTAGAAACTGTCTAAACACATATTTACTTGATTCATTTTGGTCTCTGGGGCGAAGAATCCTCTTCCAAAGAAGTGGCTGCACATGCAGAACAAGAGAATTAAGTGCTCTGAGGCGATGAGAAGGCAAAGGCTTTATCGCTCATGATTCAGGGATAACAATCCTAAAGCGTAGACCGAACCCAAGAGCCCTAAAAACAATCCGTCCCAGTAATTCCACATCACTGAAACTCCCAACACCTGCAAGTTTTTTCATCGCCACCCTTTCTGATAAAAATGTGTACATTGCATCACAGTGGCTTCTTTGAGAAAGAACATTGAGATACAGCTGGAGAGCTCC